ACAAAATTATGAATATATAAGGGTTTCTTCAATAGAATAATATTAAGTGATACTATGAAGGATTTCAGTTTATTAGAGATTATACAAATTCTTTAATAATGATGATTATAACTTATATACAATATATATAGTTTAAAATAATATAATTTAAAAGAATCTAAATTAATAAAGATATATTTGTCAACGTGTAATAATATTCAATGATATTTACTTTGAATTTTAAATATAAATTTTGATTAAATTTCTTTGATTTTGTTTCGTTTTGTTGCTATTTTGATTGGTCGGTTAGCATGTGACAATCACTCAACATTTGTATAACCATTTTCCAAATTTGGGATGTTCACCCCTGTTTATAAAAGGTGCGATCTTCAATGTCCATTTTTGGTAAATTCCCTAACTGTAGTATTTTCTTATCAGAGGTAGAAGCTATATTATCATATAAAAAATATGTGTTAATTCAAAATCACGTAATGAGTATTAGGAAAAAATAAATCTTTTAAAGAGCAAATAATTTTAATTTTTCATGTTATTGTGCTTTATGACGTTACCTCAATTTCAACTCCACGCTGTTCACATTTGATATAATAGAATCTGGTTTCATATATCCTTATCATTATGATCTAACTTGCATAATGGGCATGATGTCTCATCAGTAATGCCATAATAATCAAAATTTTCACTACTAAATTCTTTATATAAATTTTGATATTGATCCAATACCTTGTTGCAAAAATAGGTGCGGTTATTCGTTAACTTAGATTGAGGTGCTTTCAAAGGAATATATGTATTAGTCAGATTAATTTCTGAAGTCGCATAACTCTGATCGTGAAGAAAATCTTCTCAGTTTTCAGTTACATAACTCTGATCGTGAAGAAAATCTTCACGGTTTTCAGTCACATGATCTATAATATTTTGGATTTGTTGGTAGCTGAGACTTGAGATAGCATCTGCACTATAAGAAACTAGTTTAATTTTTTTTATTCCTAATCGTTAAATAATTTATATAATTTTCTAGCTCTAAGGATTTTTTGACGCAAATTAACATCAGTAATATCAGGTAAAAGCAGTTTTATTTCTTGATATACCATAGATGTTGCAGTTTTTCTTTTAATTCCACTAATAACAATCTCATCGATTTTTTTGTCATATTTTTCGATAAAATAATACCAGTAAAGTATCCCTTCTTGTCCCGATTGAATGGGCTTATAAAATGCGTAAACTATGCTTTCTGCTATAACTAAAGATGAGTCTCAATCCTTAAGCTGATCTGAGATTATAGGAGCAGATATAGATGCTAACAGTTGTTGTTTTAATTTCTGTTCTATAATTAGATTTTTATCCAACTTGATAATAACTTCATTATTAGAGTTATTAAGTATAGTCGATTCTGAATTCTGATCATAGTTTGATGGATATATTTCAAGATTAGCCGGTAACTTGGATGCATTAACTGAAGATAAATTCTCAGATTAAGAAATGAAAGTATTGTTAGTCTGTAATAGCTTTTTTTTCCTATTTCTCTCTCTTATCTCAGTGCTAATAGTTTCTTTATATACATAATCTAGAAATTCGATCTCTTTATCTTTACAAGATTCAAACTCCGTATGAATAAGTGGTTCAGGGTATTGAATATTCAACTCTTGATATATATCAGAATTAGAAATATTATCAGATATATTTTCTATCTGTTTAGGGGTATTATCAGAATTTGTTTTGTAAGATGCAGTATCATCACCTAATTTAGCAATAAGGTCATCTTTTTCTTCGTCATTTTGTGATAACTTTTGTTCCAATTTCAAAACCCTAGATTTGAGTTCAGTATTCTCGTTTATAAGGTTTGCGATATTTGTTTTATTTTTTCTATCTTGTTCTTTGAATCTAGTTTTAAATTTGGTATTCTCTTCCATAATCTGCTTTAATGTTATATTCTCTGCCTCAACCTTAGTATATTTCTTTCTAAGTTCAGCAATCTCAAGTGTAAGTTTAGAATTCAATTCTCTTAACGAAGCAATTGTAGTTTGTGAATCTGCCATTGTTTTACATAAAATGCAGATATATTTAATTCTTTTATTATGAAGATATATAAGATATATATTCATGTGATAAAATTCTTAAACATAATCAGAGATACATGCTACGCAAACACAAAAAATAAATAAATCCAAAATACATGACTGCATGGAAAAATTCTCAATCATATGCGAGTAATGTACATTGATAACAATACAATAAAATAAATTTACTCAATATACACATGCAAAAGTAAACACGATTATGTATGTAAAATTAGCCACCAGGACCAGCTCTATTGTACAGCAAAAAATAAAACGCATAAATTCTATCTCAATCATCGCTAAAAACTTACTGTAAATTTTATTATTTATCGACTTGCTAGTATCATTAAAATAGCTTAATCATAATGGCATACTTTTACAGAGGTATGCATAAACATTTTCAAATAATAAATATGTACATTAAGATTACCCGATCTGACTAATTTCTGCCCAAATAAATTCTATAATAAATCAAAAATTAAAATTTTCACCCAAAATTCATAATCAATAGAGCAGGTAATAAATATTTTAATTCTCCAAATAAGATCAAGAGAGATAGGAATATTTCCAAAATGTATTAATATGATTAACCCAAGGATTCGTTTATTATTATATCATTAAAAACAAATTATATTGAATACATGCACAGCTTGATAAATATAATTGTTTGTTTTCTACTTTATTCTCAAATACCATACTAACTACTGTAGTTATTCAAGATCTACACTCTCACCTAAGTATTTAGATTTCAACAGCTCCAACCAATAAATATCATGTTTCTGATCCAGTTTTTTCCTATCTTCAGCCCCTAGTGGCCAATTAATATGTTTATGATTCATAAAAGATAGATAGCACTCAATTTCATCTTTACCAGCCCAATCGAAATCTATTAACATCTTTTATATTGGCCTTGAGATTTGTCAACTAGAATGTTGGAATCACAGAGGTCAGCAAAAACAATACTTTCCTCATGCAATTTGTCAATAGCATTTTTATATTCCTTAAAATCGCCTTATATTCATCACGACTAAGTGAGCTACAGTTATAAAGTAGTTCAGCCTCAATATAATCTATCACTACCATATAGAAACCATTTACCATCTCTTTGTTAATATAGAGTAATTTTGGTACTTTTCCAATTTTGCTACATAGTTCGTATGTTCTACGATTATATTGCTATGCAAACTTAACAATAATTTTCTGCCTATCTTTTGTTATGGCTCTCCAAAGAAGCTTGTGATCAACAAGTTTTCCTTCATATGTAAATTCTATGATTGTATCTTGGTGTTTGTATTGATTCAGATAGGAAAAAAATCGGTATGAATTTTGTCGATTTGTAGGTATATCTAGCGATACATAATACTCTTTTAGCCTATTGACTCCCAAGTACAAAGCTTTGAAAAGTCGTGCCACTCGCTCCACATAGGCTTGATTGTTTGTAGAAATAAGAGATATAAAGTCCATCAAGAGATCTACAATGGGTTTCTCAATATATACTGCCTCTAAAATACACACCCATGGTCCAGCTAAGCACAAGATAAAGATGGCCAGTTGCACCATTTGAGTACTTCCCCATATGTCTTTTGGGTATAATATTTTGCATAAGAAGCACTAGCTTGGACAGTTGGATTACAGCTACCAGTGCCAATTTCATTTTTCATTTCAACAAGAAAGCGTAAAACACTTTTTGAAAAGACATTAGATTCCAATACACCATCATTTGAAAAATCATCTTCTAGGCTAATTATTCTTAATTCCTCACCAAATAATTTACGAATTTTTTCTTTAAACACTATAGAATGTTTATGTTCACTGTGGTATATTTCAGCCATTCCATTAATGAACTCAAGGGTCTATTCATAATGCTCTCTCCCCATTTCTAGATCTTCATTATGGTAATCACGCAGGAACTGACTAAAAATATTGTGATAAATTTGCACTGGCAGGCCAACGTATTCTGGAGGATGGTGAATAAGTAACTGCTTGTCTTTAACATGATGGTCAATAAGATTATTAAGAAGTACAAAAGATGACGGAGGAGGATAACTCTTAATCTTCTTTACATTTTTTTGCTGTTCTGTAAAGATCGTAAAAGTTTAGTTGAAATGACAAGAATTCTATAAAAGCAAAATATACTATACAACTAATCTTCTTTATAGTTATCCAAGTCAGAAAAATGTTATTTAGTAGCCGATAAAGAACTGTATTGCAAACGTTATTAGTTATATCGAAATTATTTCACTATAACAATTTGTATACGATAAAAAGATTCTCTTACAAGGTTGCAAGCTTCGCTCGCAGGTCTAGTACCTCATTATACAATGTCTGCTCCTAAAGACTCAGTACGTCTATTGATGAAATCGCATGAAATTATTGCAGAGAAAGTAGTATAGGTTTGGAATATTTGAATGCAGTTGTGGTACTACTTACCTTCTCCTTCACCCTTAATTTTTTTGACTAATTTTGCTATAACTTCTGCTGGTCCACTGGAAAGTTTATAAGGGGAGGCTAGAAGCTTTTCTAGAGTTAACTCAAGGAAGGCTGGGCTGGAAATGTGGTTATCCTTAAGTATTTGAATGTGAACATCATCAAGATCTAACTCCACTTGATTTTTCTTTAAGAAATTAATAACATTGGGTTGCTTTGATTCCTCAACCTCTTCTACTGACAGAAGAGAAATATTTTTAAACATGATTATTTGTTGAACAAAAGTAATAGTAATAGTCGTACATTCATCCTTTTATAGTTTATATAAACAATCAGATTGTTATACAACAGATCACGTATTGTTACACAATACAGATATTGTATTTTTCCCAACATAAAGAATTATTTTAATAATAAATCACGGTCCCTGCATGCAGAATTTTTATTTTCATTCAAATTAAAAAACTATTTATTCCTGAAGAGGCGTGATATCGATGCCACAATAAGGTTCTACAGAACTATCATTACAGCATTGATCATCACATAAGTTCGTGACGGAAATTTATTATTATTTTTATTTAATTATTCAAGAATAAAATAGATGAGTTAGAAACTTGAAGCTATTATGAAATAGTGAAGCTTTCACTTATTGCTTCTTTCTTTAAAAAATTTCTACATTCACATCGCTTATATATTCTATCTGCCACCTTTTTGCATATTTTGCAATACAGATATGAATGGTGATTGCATTCATCACAGACCTTACATCCATGCTTCCAACCTCTAAAGATATGTCACTTTTCAAAGCAATTTTGTTTATCTTTATATATGAGTATACTATTCTGACCTTTCATTGTTATATATTGACAGAAAAAATATAATGTAGCTAAAATTTTTTTATTATACAAACCTGTCTCGCCTTACATACATAAACCTTAGGTCAAGATCCGTACATGTTGATTGAATGCCTATTGCTATATTTAACAATATTGCAGTATTGGTATGTATAAACTTTATTATGAATTAAATTATATACTGTAATTATACTTATATATGATTTAATAAAAAATATTAATATCATGTTGGTGCTCAATCTTTGCTAGCAATCGTGAATAAATAATTTAGCTTAAAAGTAGACCCAAAGGGTCATTGCTCTGCAATAAGTGCAGTTAGTGAGTTGGTTAGTACCGAAATACTTCTATGCTGATCTCCAATTCGTAGATTTAAAACACATGATATCGCTCCACTGAGGCTCATTATAACATCATGTGATTTTGAAGTTATGATGTGGTTATAATTATTTCCAGATTGAATTTGCTGTATTCACTTAATTTATATATTTTTTTGCATTAATTATATTACTATATTATAACAATCATGACGAGTAAAACTAATAATAATACTGATCCAAGTGAAAAATTTCCTCAATTATACAAGGTGCTTTTATATAAAAAAAAGATATAACAGCTATTCAGAAAAAACTTGATATTAACAATAATATAAATCAAACAGCAGTATTGGAGAGTAAGAAAGTAAAAGAACTTGCTGATTCATATGAATTGCTGTTAGAATTGGTGAGTAATTTAATACCTATACAGATGAAACTTGATATAGATTTCAATCCTATTTTAGAAGCAAAACTTAGAAGAAATAAAGCCTCTTCAGATAAACCAATTAGATTATTTGATTTGCTTTTATGCTTAGAAGACGATATAGCAACAATTTAGGAAGAACTTGGTATTGTTGGTTATACTAATCAAGAAATGGCAGAAGAAGCCGATAAAATGCGAAAGTGTACCTCCGAAAGTTTGAAGAATTTCATGGTCCCTTAGAAGATATTCCAAGTATATTAATACAGAAATTCATCAATAGTGAGGTAAAGAAAATTTGGTTTACTAGTGAGGGACTACCATTATTTCTGAATGTCTCTCTTCAACAATTGTATGAAATTTTTGTCAAAAAATTGACTAGCGACAATCGGTGCCCATGTTTAGAATCAAAAGTAGAACAAGGAAAATTATCACAGATATATATACATCACAGCAAATAAAAATTCTTTGTTTAAAATTAGCTGGAGGCTGCCAAATACCTGATTACCCACTCTATTCTCTAGCCAGAATAACGCGCTTCCTGCGATATTATTTAATGATATATATTATAACTGAAAAAATAACTGGTAAATAATTACCCATTCTTCACTACTAAATAAAATTATTTGTAATCCACGATGTGCATTTCCAAATATTCTAGCATCAACAAGAATAAAATATATATACAAGTTTTCGAAGCAAAGAAGAGTGATTAGTAATTGTATAAATCTATAATATCTGATATCTTAGTATTTTTTTTCTCTAGTTATTGAAGCAATTGGTCTGTCATTCATCACACCATAATGTTCAACTGATAAAGCATGGCCTATCTTATATCTACATGCCAATTGCTATAAATATTGATGGCTAGTATTATTCTTACCTCCATGTACTCTGAAAGCATGATCAGCATCTATTTTTCTTAATATATATGAGGTAATTCTATGGTGACTTAAGAATTGATTAAGAGGTGCAACATTAGTATTCTTATTCTTATCTTTTAACAAGAAAGGTAATTTATCCAGTATTGATCTCTGAATCCAGATAAGTAATTCTCTTGCCCGTATTAGATTTTTTTCTATTGAAAGGAATGGTCGAGGTTCTTCTACTTCACCTTTATTTTTCGCATAACCAATACAGTACCAAGAATGGTCAGGATTATACCATGACTCGCGACTTGGTTTGTATCGGTTGATACGAAGATTTTTCATATTTGCCAATCACATACATAGCATTATCATTACGTCTATTAGATTTTGCATTGAAGAAGGCTTGGTAATATTACATTTGTTAAGTCTTTCCTGAACTTTTTTCAGGTAAAAGAACTCAGGACAATCGTAACTATTAATTTCATGAAATATATACTTTCTTGCTTGAATCTGATTGGCTTCTACAGTAATAAAAAGTATTTTCGTTGCCTTAGTAATGAGATAATCAGCTTCTAAGCTACACAACTCTTTCTATAATAAATTAAGACGAGAATTTTCTGCAACAGTAGTAGGAGCAAAAAAAGCCAAGTCATATGCTATTCCATTTATTTCTTCAGATAAGAGATTATTTTTTATAATATCTTAGGCAATAATTTTAATGGGATCTCTTTCATAAACATGTCTCCCAGGAGCTCGAATAGGAATAAGAGTATCAGCTTATTCTTTACTTAATCCCAACTCTTGGAAGCGTCTTTTGGCCTGATCTCTGGCTTTTCTTTTGTTTTACCATCTGAAAGTTTATTAGCCAACTCTTCGGCATAACTACTAAGCTGGGGTAAACTAGTTTGAGGAGTCAATTTGTAGTGATTTACAAATGATATAATGATTTTTGCCATGGTTAGTATAGCAAAGCTAGTGTCTTTAACACATATGTTAATTGAGATGGTTTATATAAACTATTTTCGTCTGATATATACTATGGGGATTCTTTTTTTAAATCGAAATTAATTACGCTTTTTCTCCTATACCTAGAAAAAAAGAGTTTATGTATACCTATAGGGTAAGTAGTATGTCGATTTAAAATTTACTAACATATAGGATATATCGAAAAAATTTTATAGCTTTGGGGTAGGATTCTAGGCTATATTAATTGTATATTGTGTTTTATTTTTTTAGTATATTGCTCGAGCTAGAATTATTATATGCTCTGGCTCTAGAACGTCTGCCTTGGTAAATGTATCATAT